TAAAAGGGAAGGCCATCTCAGGGCCAGGACAAAGGGCCAAGTCCCTGAAATGAGGGGATCAAGCTACAGGAAGATGCTTGTCGCTCCCTTGAGGTAGCTCATAGAAAGAACTGTTCCAAGGTTTGGGGTCCCGGCTATGCACTCTAGCCTGTGTTCCTTGCTCTTATCTCCTAGACCCCAGTCTTCTCATCGGTAACAAAGGGGTGATCGGAGCTAAATCTGAGGGTATGAGCAACATGCCTCGAGCAGTGCCGTGCTGGTACACAGCACACTCCCAATAAATGTCAGCTGACACACTCAGCACCCCATTTATGCACCGGTGGAGTGAAGTGCATTTACTCCGGGGTGAGGGCCCCTCAACCTGCAGGACTGCTGCCCCAAAGCCTGATCTGGAGGCGGAGGTGGAGCCCCAAACTAGGCACCCATCCTTCTAAGTCTCCCACACCTAGTCACCAGAGTGCAGAGAGGAGGCTGAAGCAGGAGGACAGCCCGGGGTAGAAATTAGGACCTGTCACTTACTGAGAACCTGGACATCCTCATCTGTACACGGGCCTGGTACACCAAGAACACAGGACAGGCGACCCCTCACCCCGATCTGCCCGAGGCCCTGGAGCGCATGGAGCAGGCCTGTCCTCCAAGGCCCCAGCACTGGTCCACATGTGACCCGGAGCAAGTCCTCTGTCCCTCTGTCTCTCTGACTGAGGTGAGAGAGAAACTTCTTCTTTTTTCCTTTTAACATTTAAGATTTATTATTTATGTGTATGTGTGTGTGTGCTTACATGAGTTTATGTACACTACATGCATGTGTTCATGTGGCTATGGATGCCAGCACAGGATTCCCTGGAACTGGAGTTTCAGGTGGTTGTGATGTGAGTAAACTGGGTGTGGAGGGAGAATCTTTGTGGCCATGTATCCATAGGTCCCAGGGAGCCACTGTCCTGGCTAATGCAGTTCTTGCCCATCCCCCTTTCCTTCTGAGAGGTTCTGGAATGTGGCTTCAAAGTCATGGGGAGTTGTGTCTCTGCCCTGTGTCACCAGCCCCTACTGCAGAGTCCCAGATCCCCACCCAGGTGGTCAGCAGCATGGGGGCTCCAGGTCATACTCTGCTCCAGCCCCCGGCAAACCACCACCTACAGTCTAGAGACACCACTCAACCTTAGACGAGGCTCAGGCCACAAGTGCCAGAAGCTTCCAAGTGAAATTAACCAAAATACAGAGAAAGGTAGCTGCCCCAAACTGGAACAAAATGAGACACCATTTAAATATTCAACAAGGGGCTCACTGTTCAAACGATGGCGCAGGCGTGGGACAGAATATTCCAGAACTGCAAACGATGATTTTAGAGTCTAAGTGACATGAAAATAATATGGCACATAAGAAGGGTCCACAAGACTCTCACACGTTCATCTGAAGGATCAAAATTACCTTGCAAAGCCCAGAAGGCTTTAGAGCTGCTAATAGTCCTGGGAGTGGTTTTTTGTTTTTGTTTTTTTCAGTACTGAGGATTGAACCTGAAATATTCTAGAAAAATGTTCTGCCACTGAGTGACATTCCAGCCTTAATCAGTGTGTGTGTGTGTGTGTGTGTGTGTGTGTGTGTGTGTGTGTGTGTGTTGTCCGTCCACCACAGCATGCAAAGGTCAGAGGACAACACATGACTCCCTCCACCATGTGGATTCTGGGATCAAACTCAGGTTGTCAGCCTTGGCAGCAAGCCTTTATCCGCTGAGTAGTTGTGTCAGCCCATTGACCTAAGATTTTTAAAGATTATTTCCCCACCCTCTCTCTCTCCCCCACTCCATTCCCTTCCTCTCTCTCTCTTTGTTCTCTTGAGACAGGTCCTTATTTAGTCCAGCCTTGACCTTGATGTGAGCTCAAATTTCTGATCCTGCCTCTGCCTCCCGAGTGCTGATATTACAGGTGTGTCCACCGTGAGTCCCCCTCCCCTCTCCCCCTCTCCTCTCTCCCCCTCCCCTCTCTCCCCCTCTCCTCTCTCCCCTTCTCCTTTGTTCTCTTCTTTGCAGAGCCTTAGGCCCCTGCTAAGCATGGCTCTGCCACAGAGCCATATCCCAGCACCCCTCACTCATCTGTTTTCTTTGAGGAGCAAACACATGGTTCAGCGGCCTCTTTTTTGTATTGTTTTGTTTTTTCGAGCTGCTCTTTAAGAATCTCCATCTACATGCATGTTCTTTAAAGCGATTCCAGGGCTGGAGAGGTGGCTCAGTGGTTAAGAGCACTTGTTGCTCTTCTAGAGGAAGCATTCCTGGCACCGACCTGGAGGCTCACAACTGTCTGTACCTCCCTGGGCACACAGCTATACACGCAGGTAAAACAATTATACACAAAAAATAACTAAACAAGTGAATCCAGGAAGAAGAATTTGTCTTAGCCCTCTCGAGAAAATCCCACACTGGAAAACAGTCACACTGAGTGCACATCCTTCCAGAATCTTCTCTGTGCAAACCTCAGCATCACTGATTTATTAGTAGAAATGGATGGCTGTTTAGGGTCCTAACTGTATGTTCTATACATCTGTGTCATAGCAAATGGATTCCCTGGTTTTGTGGTTGCTGCTGGACAGCATTCTGTGACATCCTGACTTCTTCAATGAGACCCCTATTGAGGGACATTTGGGTGGAATCTGGTTGTTGGGGTTTATTACAGGTACTCACGGGCCACACGTCCTTACAGAGGTGACAAGTAACTCTCTAGGGTTGACTTTTCTAAAAAATTATTTATTTAACTTTATTTTGTGTGCATTGGTGTGAAGGTGTCAGATGCCCTGGAATTGGAGTGACAGACAATTGTGACCTGCCATGTGGGTGCTGGGAATTGAATCCAGGTCCTCTGGAAGAGCAGCCAGTGCTCTTAACCACTAAGCCATTTCTCCAGCCCCAACTTTTTCTTTTAAGACCAAATATTACTATGTAGTCCAGGCTGGCCTTGAACTCACTATGTATCTAAGCTGGCCAGGAACTCATGTGGATACTACAGCCTCAGCCTTCCAAGTGCTGAGATTACAACTGTGTGTCACCACACCCAGCTTAGGCTGACTTTGGAAACTGAGGTGTGAGAGTAAAAAGTTATACACAAGTTATAACTTTAGAAAATTCTACTGAGTTGTGTCCCAGAAGGCTGGGTCCAGTTTTGCCCCTCCATCCTGAGGGGATGTATACAAATGGCTGCCACCCCCATCCACTGAGTTCTGTGTGCTAGGCAGCCAGGGCTACATATTGAGACCTTTTCTCAAGAAACAAAATAAAAATATGTTGTGTGTGTGTGTGTGTGTGTGTGTGTGTGTGTATGAATGTAAATGTGTGTAATTTTTTTTTAAACTCAGGACCTTCCATATGACAGGCAAGAGCTCTACCACTGAGCTACACACCCAGGAAATAACTATCAGAACTCACTACTTCCTAATTATTTTACTCACTTTACATCATCCACAGTCCAGTGGTTCCCAACCTCCCTAATGCTGACACTTTAATACAACTCTTCATGCTGTGGTGACCCCCAACCACAAAGTTATTTCATTGCTACTTCATAACTGTACTTTTACTACTGTTATGAATCATGATGTAAATGTCAGATAGACAGGGTATCTGATATGTGACCCCTATGGGCTCGAGACCCACAGGTTGAGAACTGCTGCTCTCAGACCCTTGAGGGTGTCTATGCCTCGGGTCTATAGGGGAGAGAGGCGATTGCTGTGTGCCACTGAATTCTAGTTTCCAAATAAGAACTGAGGGTTAGTGGATTGAAATCAGCCCTGAGGGAATATTCGTACCACTGTCATCGGCCTACCTAAAGTCTGGAAGGTTACCTAGACTCTGACACCTCATCTTCCACACTACAAGTCAGACCCTAAAGGTCTTGCATGTCTCCCAAAGCCAGAGGAAGAGCACCTGGAGTCCTGACCCAGGCTGGGGTCAGGCTCTGTTATAGTAGGTGGACTTGGAGGGTCAGAGTCTCCATTTTCTCTTCTGGGAAATAGAGTGATCATGGCAACCATCTTGCAGGGTCACATGTGGTCAGAGTAAGGATTCTGGGGGCCACAGGCATAGAGTCAAATCCCTGCAAAGTCACTCAGTGTCTCTAGACTCAATTTCCGGTTGACCAATGAGGTGGTGACAGATTTCCCATCACTTACAGACTTTAAGATGCAGGGTGGCCCCATCTCCTCCTGACACTCCGGCCTCCTGGCAGCCCACTCCAATCCTTGGACAAGCCCCTGAATCTGCAGGTGGGCAGGTAGCTGTCTACAGGTAGGGGTGACCGAGGAGCAGGCCCCACTGAGACCGACCGTGAGTGAGACTGGGGTCTGGGGTCCTCACCACCCCTCCTGAGGTCACTTTTAATTGTTAGCCTGACTGAGAAGACCCACAGAACCCCTAAATGAGCCTGTGTCCTTCTTGAGATGGGGAACAGAGGCAGGGCAGAGCATGTGGCCCTTGTGGGTTCAGCGGGGTTCCGGGAATGGGGCAAAGCCCGGGAAAAGTGGGAAGACTTGAAGTTGGTAACTCTTTGGACAAATGATGTCAACATAAGCCTTTACTACAGCACCCCACCCCCACCCCCGGCTCAGAGGTCTCGAAGTCATCCCCCAAGATGACACCAGGAATTAAGAAGGTCAAAGTTGGATCCAGGACCTGACTTTCTCCTGTGCCCCCTCCTGAACTTCCTCAAATGGGAAGCTCAGAGAAGGGAAGGAGCGCTCCCAGCGATGTACAGCATTCTGGCTCCTGGCCTTCTTGACCGCTGAACCAGCAGGTGCCAGGGCTAAAGCGAACAGCTTATCCCGCCAGACTTTTAACGCTTAAGTCTGGTGTCCTGTGAAATCTTTCGGTCCCACTGAGTTGAAAGAGCTGGTGATCCCTCTCCTGCCTCCTACCACCCTGGAGGTGGCTTTACTAGCTACGAGCTCAGGACACAGGATTAAGACCTGGAACACCCAGGGCCTGGTCTGGGCTGTGTCCCCAACCGTGGGCGCTGGACACTTACTTGTGGGCACGAAGCTGTAGATGGCCAGCAGCAGGGTAATGGCCAGAGGGAGCATGCCACGGTCCATGCTGTCCACCTGGGAGTCTCTGCGCTGGGCCTTATCCGGTGTCCAGAGGCAGGGCTGCGGGTGGGCGCCGGGGCCGGCGTGGGTTCGCACGGGGACCCGAAGGGAGCAGGCGGCCGGAGCGACCACGTCCCTGCTCCAGCCTTCTGAGGTGGCGGCTGAGAAGTCAGGAGAAGTGAGCTCGAGACTCACAGCAGGGCAGGGGTCTCTAGCTGACTGGATGGTGGGAAAGAGACACTGGGCTCTTTTGAACAGCAGCCGGCAGCGGTCCTGGCCTGGGGACCGAACGCAGATGGAGGTAGGGGTCTGACCGTCCTCGGCAGGGAGCTCAGCTCATCCAGCCCGGCCCAGAGAGGCAGGAAATGCGCTTCCTTAGAGAAGGGGCCGGGCCAGGCTGCCTGCCAGGCGGGTAGAGGAAGTGCCACTGGCTTTGTCGCTGGGTGGGGGGCCCTGGGATGGGGGAGGCAGGGTGATGGGAGGGCCCAGTCGGCAGACCTCCTTCCATGCACCTCGCCCTCCACCTACCCTTGCCAAGGCTAGCCGGTGAGCGTACATCTGGGAACCTGACAGGGGTCAAGTTCTGGATGAAACCCCAGTAACTCAGGTTCCTTCTACAAATGAGGAAAGTCGTGATGGACCAAGAGAGATGGTGCCTGGGATTCTAGCTGGCCCGTCCCAGCATCAATCCAGAAGCATTACTCTTGGCTGTGCCTCTGTGTTACAGACAGGGAAATTAAGGCCCAGCATGAGGAAGACATATTCCCAGGTTAGCATAGGGCAGCTGAGACTGTACTCGCTGGGCCCGGAGAGGGTCACAGAGACCCTCAGGGCCCACACAGTTCCAAAGGCACAGAACATACAGTTGACTTTGGTGGCACACACCTCTAGTCCCTGCCCCATGGAGGCCAAGACAGGAGGGCTGTGAGTTGGGGGGAAGCCTGGGCTATACATAGTGAGACCTGTCTTCAAGGAGGGACAGGCAGAGACTTTCATGGCATCTCTGAAGTCAGATGGCCTTGGGTTTGGATCTGGTTTGCTTATTTCCAGACCTGGGGCTGAGTCCTTAACCTCAGTTCCCTGTTTGTGATACAGCTGTGTCCTCTGCCCCAGGCTCTTGGGAGACTTTCTGAGGACCAGATGCTAGCTAGCTACAGTTCTGAGCCCTGGGCCAGGTCCCGCAGAAGCTGCTTGCCAATCCATGCTCCCTCAGCTAAGGTGACAATCCCAGAATGCCCCGTGCTCATTTTGCAAATAGTAAACACAAAAATGTGTGCTACCATGTTCCTAGGTGGCATTTAGAGTCAAGCCCAGGAAAACTTAGAGACAAAAGCCTGAACTACCTGGAGAGGTGTCGGGGACCAGGGGAGTACAGACGCTGGCAGCCAGCGGAGGCCAAGAAAGGACCAGGTGCCTAAGGCACCAACGTAGGGAGAACCTGGGTCATCCCGGGGCAATAGCAAAGATGTAGAGAGGTGAAGAAGCCCATCTCTGGGGGCGAACACAGGGATTCTCTCTCAGAAGCTGGAGATGCGACCTCTGGAGTGTAGCCTGGGGTCTCAGGTCTGGCCCCCAGGTGCCCTCCGGTGTTCCGCCTCAGTGACCAGGCCAGGCCGGCAGTTGGTCTCTGCAGGGGCTGACGTGAAGCAGGGAGTGTGGAGTGGGTCCTGGAAGCAGGCTGGAGGAAGGTCAGCTTTCTCTCACCCAGGCAAGCATGGGAGAGACCTAGCTCACCAGGCGTCTTGGGGGTGACAGGCTCTGCCCTTCCCTTCAGCCGTGGAGATAGCAGATAGACACCGGGACTCCAGAAGGCAGAATGGGGGTGGTGGCAGGTGGGGTGGTGGCAGGGTGGCTGTGAGCTGTTCTCTACATGCCCTAACAGAATCTGTTTTGGGGACAGTCAGCCCAGCCCTGGGACTAAACTCCACACCAGGGCCCACCCTGGGCGTTCACCTTATCAGTACCAAATTGTCACCATTGACAAGAAGTCTACTCCTTTGGGCTTTGTTTTACACAGGTGGAGACCAGCTTGCTAAGGAGCGCAAAGTGGGCACCTTGTGACTTCCTGCTCTCTACCCGGCTCCATGCCGGCTGCAACATCTGAGCTGGTAGCCTGAGGGGGCAGCCGGTACAAAGACTCACAGGGTGAGATGACAGCCAGGGGACCCTCTGGACCCCCAGATCAAGGCTTTGTGCCCCAGGCCCTTCAGAGACGGGCTGGCCCGCCCCTCCAGGCTTCTTAACCTCTCCACGGGCACCCTGCAGTCTCAGGGTGCTCCAGTCACTTCCTGCTTCCCTACCTTAGCCTGGGCTCGGTTCCGTAGCCTTGTTTTGTTTTTCAGTTTTGAAACAGGGTCTCACTGTGTAGCCTGGCTGTCCTGGAACTAGCTTTGGAGACCAGGCTGGCCTCAACTCATAAAGATCTACCTGCCTCTACCTCCCGAGTGCAGGGATTAAAGATGTGGCCACCATGCCTGGCTCTCAAGGACCCTTTTAAAGGCCCTTCCCAAGCCATCTGTACTGCACACCCATCTCCGTTTAGATCATAAAAAAGACCCAGTGTCTTCTCCAGAAAACAGGGGAGGCTCCAGGCTGGCACAGAGGGGGATCTGTGGAGCGGCAGATAATGGGGGTCACCTATAATCCCAGCTCTTCACAGGCAGGAGGATGACCACAAGTTTGAGGCCAGCCTAATCTACACAACAAGGTCTAGGCTGCTCTAGCAAGACCCTGTCTCAAAACACCGGAAAGGAAAGGAAAAGGCAGAGGGGCCTGCAAGATGGCTCAGGGAATCGAAGGGCTTGCCACTAAGCCTGACCACCCGAGTTTGATTCCTGGGGCCTACATGAAGAAAGGAAGGAATTGACTCCCCAAAACTGTCCTCTGACCTCCACATGTATGTCCCCATACACACACATATAAAAACACAATAAGTAAAGAAATGAAATGTAATTTAAAAATGTAAAAAGACTAGAACCAGGGAAAGGAAGCCTACCCATAGGCTTTAGGGGGCCTGACCAGAGACCTTGAGGGAATGAAGAGTGTGGAGCCACCAGGTCTGGAAGCTTTGAGCACAGAAGGGTCCCTGCCAACTCGAAGTCTGGGTGGTACCTCAATGCCCAGTGCACATCACTAAAAGTCCCAGGAGGGCAGGGACTTTGATGGCCTCAGCTGCTTTGTCCCTTCACAGAGCCAAGGGACTTGGTTTCTTTCTTTCCTTTTTTTTTTTTTTTTTTTTTTTTTCCCGAGACAGGGTTTCTCTGTGTAGCTCTGGCTGTCCTGGAACTAACTCACTGTGTAGACCAGGCTGGCCTCGAACTCAGAGGTCCACCTGCTCTGCCTCCAGAGTACTGGGATTAAAGGTGTGCGCCACCACCACCCAGTGGGACTTTGTTACTTAAGATACTATTCTTGCCGGGCGGTGGTGGCGCACGCCTTTAATCCCAGCACTCGGGAGGCAGAGCCAGGCGGATCTCTGTGAGTTCGAGGCCAGCCTGGTCTCCAAAGCGAGTTCCAGGAAAGGCGCAAAGCTACACAGAGAAACCCTGTCTCGAAAAACCAAAAAAAAAAAAAAAAAAAAAAAAAAAAAAAAGATACTATTCTTTTTCTGTCAGGATGGAGAAAGCTGGCTTTCAATTTGCAATCCCCCTGCCTTAGACTCCTAAGTGTTCAGCACTGTGCACAGCAAGATAAATTTATTGAAACCCTGAGGTGCCCTGGAAGCCAAGGTGGGACTGAGGAGTGTAGAATGGGGAAACTGAGGCACAGAGGCAAAAGACTTGCTTCTGATCTCTAGGATACAGACCAGTTGTGGGCTGGTTCTTCTGTCCCCAGCAGCTCGGTGATCCCAGCACCGTGCACAGATTGAGCAAACTGGTTTGCTTCCAGCACGCTCTCTCCCTCTGGGGACATATCCACCTTCCTACTCCCTGGCTCCCGAAGGACGGACAAGGTTAAGAGAGAAGGGTACATCCTTTGGCTTTGTCCCCCAAAGGCTGACCCCCACATCAGAGGTCTCTCTCCCCTGAAGATCATGACCTAGGCAGGGTCCATCCTACAATGCCCAGGCACTGGGTCCCTCTCCTCACCCATCAGGCCAAGCAGTCATCTGCACGGGGTGAGAGTTTCCTGCCCCCACCTGTATTCATATACCCCTCACTGCAGTCTCTCGAAGCTGTCCCTTGGGAGCCAGCCATCTGTTTCCTGCCCTGATCCCAATGCAGATGTTCTTAGGTCCCTCCTGTGCATACTCCAGGAGACACTTGGCCCCCGGCCAGGCCCTGTGCATGGCCCCCACAGCAGGCTCCATCTTCCTCCTGGCCGGGCCAGAAGGCCTGAGCAGCAAGCAGGAAGGGATGAAGCACGTCTACCTTGGCCCCTGGCCACAAAAAGGAATGTCAGGCGGCCCCTAAGGACCCCAAGGCGGCTGCGAGTCTCCAGCACCGGCCAGCATCCAGGAGCTGTTGATCTCAAACAGCAGGCCAGGTCTGCTCAGCATGGGGAGGGGAGTGCTAGGCCAGGAGTCTGGGTACCTGACTCTGCCCCATGCCAGCCAGGGAGGCTCAGCAAGGCTTTTCTACTTTCAGGGTCCCAGCGTCTTCAGCTGCACAGTGGGAAGGCAGCCAGCTAGCCCCTGGGGATTCAAAGAGCAAGACAAGGATGAGAAGCTCCTCCACTCACCAGCTTACCAGGCCCAGCGCCAAATGCCGCTCCGCAGCTCATTCTCACTTTACGATGGAAGACACAAAAGGCCCAGATGCACAAGGACACAGGGCTGGAGAGACAGAGGGTGTGTAGGGCTGGACTCTCTTAGAGAGGCAGAGGATATGCAAATTTCAGCCTGTTGGTGTTCCCTTGTTTCTAGAACCTTCTGTCCTGGTTTCCTTCCTACATTCCAGATCACCTTATCTGTCTCCTACTGGTTCCTCTTCAGCCTCTCAGACTTGACCCTTGAACCCCTTCCCTTTTCTGTTCACTCTTACTTCCAAATCAGGATTTCTCAGACCTTGGTGACCAATGACATCATGTTCTAGCCCAGTGACAAGCCTCCTGGGAGACTTGGGCTCAGGTAAGGAGGGGGCGGACCTCTGTGAGCTTGTCTGTGCCCGTGACTACAGTGCCCTGGAATAGCATGTGTCCTGTGCTGTTTCCACAAGCTGCTGGACTTCTGTGCCCATCAACGGGTCCTGACCATAAAACCACGTGCTGGGCTCTTCCTAGTCTGAGGGCTGAGGTGGAAGTCTCTCCAAGTAGAGACACTCAGCTGGGCATGGTGGTACAGGCCTACAGTCATAGCTAGTGCTCAAGACACAGGTGATCCTCCATGAGTTCGAGGTCAGCCTAGTCTGCACATTGTCTCAAAAAGCCAAGCCAGGGAGTGCAG